CACAGTTTGTGCACGTTTTGAGTCGACCATGAGTCGACTGGTGAGCATGAGTCGATCATGAGTCGACTGATCGAGGGTTTCCTAGGCCGATTTGGTTTCTATTTGGGGAAATCCTAGTTGGGTTTGGTTTTGATTATTTACCAGATTGCCACCACGTTGTAAACCCTATAAATAGGGATTGTTTAGGGTTTCTAAAAAGGGGGAAGGAGAGACCAGATGTAGTCCTAAAGAGTTTTAGGTCTAAGAGAGATCCTGATCAAAAGGATTAGGAATCAGAGGTAATCAAAGTGAGATTCTAATCAAGAGAGATTAGGGTTTAGAGAGAATTAAGAGCTTGTTCTCGATTCTAGTGAGATTGTGAGAGAGGAATTGTAATCTTTTCATACTCATAATCTAGAGAGGGTATTTTCCTTCACTACATACTCAATTGTTCTTATGTTTCTGTTATTCTCTTCTCAACCCACCTTTGATAAGTCCGCGATCAAAGGTGCTCGCATGGCGACTCGTATCAAGTTGGTATCAGAGCGATCAGATCTAGTAGAAGAGGGTATCATGTGTATGGTCCTGACTCAATCGCAATACAAGAAGCTAGGCGAGATCCTTATTTTATTAGAAGGAGTCCGAGTTTTAAGGAAGAAGAAGATGATTGAAGGCAACAGAGATGGAGGGACCCGAGAGTTTCCTTAGCAGAAGTTCTAAACTTGAAAAAGACTTAAAGTTCTTAAAGAAAGGAGCCATGATACGTGTGTATCTTCTTCTCTGCTTCAGGAGCTTAGCGATCCTCATGGGAGCTTGAAGATAGGTGATTCTCATGATATCTTGAGAATAGTAGTGTGAAACAACACGGTGGAGCACAGGATGGAGCGTGAAGCGAGTCAGAAGAATGAAGAATCAAAGATTTTAGTTTTCAGCCTGATGAGTCGACTGACAGGTTGATGAGTCGACTGATAGGTTTATTAGGTATAGCAGGTAGATTAATGAAGTGGAAAAAAGGAGTTTGACGGAGGGCTTCATAATGATTATTATTTAGCAAAGGCCTTAAACGATTATTCACCAAATCACGAAATAACCCAATATTTGAAGGCAATCTTAACTCTGCAACATTTTCCTTAAAAAAATTCAATCAAAATGAATAGCCCTTATAAATGTAAAAATTAAGAGATCGTAAAGTAAAGTGATAAAGCATTAAGAACTATTTTGTTGGTAACCTAAAAACTAGCTATTCCTCAGGAACCTGAAGGGTATTAACAAGGTATATAAACATAACAATGCTTATGTGGAAGGAGGGAGCCCAACTGCGATAAATGCTCATAAAGAAAAGAAGAAGGTAATGCATGGTCAGAGACTTAACTAGAAATTGGTATTATAGGGTATATTTAGCATGGTCAGAGACTTAACTGGAAATAAGTCAAAACATGGACAAGAAGCATCTTTATACAGCTAAATTTGACAATGAAGGAGTTGTTCATGTAAACTTTTATCAATATATTCAACTCTTCACATGATAATATCTATTGTTTAATTCCTCTATTACCAACTTAGTATCTACTGTTTCATTATTGTAGGATAAAAATCAACTATTGTAGCAGAACAATAGTTATGTTGAAGTTTTCTCCTGATGCTCTTATTTATCATTCGTATGTATCAGACGTATCTAGAGATCTAGGGATCCAAATCTTCAGATTCAATTTCATTTACAAGTAAAAACATAAGAAATTATTAAAATTTATGAGATAATAATAATTTCAGATAAATTAAAATTTACTTACTTAGTAGCCTTAGACGTTGATTGGGAAGAACCCCTCGATTTACTTCTGCTTGACATCTTTGACAACCTATTGACAAATATTTCAAAAAATACAATATAATTATGAATATCCCAGCGGCAGGTTGGAATTCCTTTATAAATAATGATTTCAACACCAAGCTATCATTGGTGGTAAACCTTAGATGTTCGAGAGATTACTGTGATATAAGTACATTATTATCTTTTGGGCCCTTTTAACAATTTATACATGCAAGTTGCATGTGATCAAAACTACAACAAGGTAGATGATATTGGTGTTAGACCATAGGGGGGGGGGGGGATAGGGTCTTATGCTAATCTAATTCCGATTAAATTCCAATTAAAAATATATTGATTAATTTGTTCTTGCAAGAATGATATGAGATAGATATGAGCAAGAATGATATGAATAGCCACAAATAAAATATACGCTAACCAAAACACAAACACACGATATGTTTACGAGGTTCGGTCACCACAACCTACGTCCCCACTCCTCACCTCGAGGAGATCTCCACTATCACAATCCGGTTTGGAACCCGGAATTTCTACACACTCGGTTTACAAGTTTACCGAAAACTCTCTCACCACAAACACTATGCAATCACACTTTACACACTATGTGTAGGAACCTAGCCCGTGTCCTCCTCCTCAAGTGCTTGGATGTAACCTCTCCCTAGGTTCGTCAACCGACACCACTCCTATTGGATTCGACCCTGTCTCTCGCCTCACACTTCTCTCGATGTACAAGTGTATTACAAGTGATACTCACAACAATGGTTAAATACAATGGTTTGTTCTCGATAACAAATGAGAACGTAAATGAATCTCACACTCACTAAATCAGACACCACTATCCACAATATATAGTATAGAATATTAAGCTCAATACAGTGTGTGATAACAGTGAATGAAAAAGGTGTAACTCAAAAGATATAGCTAGAATATGAAAATGAATCAATAAGCTATATTAGAAAGAGTTTAGAAGACTTCTCAATAAACAAGAAGAACAGTAGATGATGATCCCAAATAGGAGTTGAAAGCTTCTTCTTGTTGTAGAAAAACTTCTTTTGGAATAGATCAGCTTAAACAACTCTTAAACAACTCTTAATCTCTTGTTAAAACTTATTGTAAAAACAAATTCTTGGTTACTTGAAAGAAAACAGCAATGGGGTATTTATACCCACTCAAAATATCAGCCAAAACCAACTTGAAATGACCAGAATAGCCCCACAGATTTAAATCAGAATATAGCCGTTGAAAAAGCAATGATGAGTTCGGCGGTCGACCGTGAAAATCTCGCGGTCGACCACGAAGCACAAAAACACTGAGAAAACAATTTAAAAGCTGGCGGTCGACCGCGACGGTCAACCGCGAAAGTGTCTGGATAAAGCCACGGTCGACCGTGAATAACTAAAAGGCAGACTATGAAAAATTGCTCATGACGGTCGACCGTAGCGGTCGACCGCAAACTGATACAAGACAGAAAACCTGTTTTGGGCTGATTTTGAAAATACTTTAAAAATATCAAATCAATTCCAAAAATAGTAAAACATTGGGGAAAGTTTCTAATTGATAAAATAAACATGTTTGAGAAGGAATTTTTGAAAAAGCAATTTTTGTTTGTGAAAAGCCACTGTTTTTGAAAAGTGTTCATAAAACCTGTTTTTCGCGAACATGAAAATTAAGATATGACTTGTAAACACGTATATATATATATATCATGCATACATTATATATATATAATAAAGTATGAATGAGCTGTAAACATGAAACAAAAGTTATTATGACAAAGTTTGATGAAAAATCGTTTATATGATAAAAAACGTCAAATCTGTGTTAAGTGTTCATATATTAAGCTTAAATATAAACATACAATATATGTAAGCAAACTACTCTTATACCTAGGTGAATGCACACACATGAACTAGAATCTTTAACTCTTGATTGTCGTGTGTTGAATTACCTGTAAGGAGAAAAACCAAAACAACAAAGACTAGAAAACATATTAGCAATAAATTATTTGACAAATCATCATCAAAACTATAGGGTCAACAATTAGAATCTTCATGGAAATAGTCGATAGATCCTTGTAAATTAATCATTGTATATAGTGTTACAAACTCAAAACTTTATATATAAATATAAAGTTTATATATAACAGTTTTTTGTAAAATTGATCTTTTTTGCTCAATATTTGAAATAAGAAGGCATATAGGCCAAACATTGTCAGCCACAATTGTGAAAACGATTCAGTGCCAAAAATAAAAACACCAAAAGTGCTCCGTTATCTTCTCTTGTCATCCTTTCAAATTGAATTTTTAACTTCATAATTGTTTGCCATTTTCTGAAATTATCTTTTGTGTCATCTTTCCCCTCACAAGAAATTTACCAGATTCCTAGTTTTTAATTCTATATGGACAAATCTCTTAATAAAACTTGAAGAAAGACCATCTAGTTGAAGAATTAATACCATTTTACCGTTCCAACCTTTTCATTGGACAAATAAAAAAAAAAACTTAGTGATATGAGGAATTCAATATAAAAACACTCAGTGATATGAGGAACTTGCAATAAAATTCGATGATCTAGGGGCTTAATTTCAAGTATTAGAGAGGAAAAGGGGAAGATTCGTGTGTTACCCGCTTGATTTGTTAAGAATTTGATGTGCTCTACCTCTTCAACGCCCACCAAAGTTCCTCCAAATGACCGCTTTCAGATGCGTGCAACCACCGTCCGTCGTCGCCCACCGTCGATCCAACTCCCTTCGCCGCCGCCGGTGATCCTCAACCAGAGATCTCCTCGCCGAAACCCCAATCTCTCCTGATCTCTTTGAGAAAGTGAAACGGAAGAGAGATAGAGAGGGGAGATGGGTTATATTTGGGGATGAAGGGTAGTTTAGGAATATTTAATTTATTAGGTAAATACAGTACAAAAAATGGGTGTATTATACATGTTGGGTTTAAAATAAGTGGGATGATATACAGTGGGTCTATTGGTGTTTGAAAAAATGAATGGGTTTTTAAATAAGTTCAGATAAAACTTTGGGTTAAAAGAGATTTTTCCCTTCTTATATTTATTTTTGCATACCCTTTTAGAGAACCATGCATGCGTACTCCTGTCGTCATGCATGTGCTAGTCAACCTAAAATTTAGTATATAAATGCCCTGTGGCCTCCGCCTCCCTCGTTCACACCCCCCTCTCTCTCTCTCTCTCTCTCTGACATACAGAGAAGCCATGGATTTCTTAGAATCAGATGAGTTTTTGTCAGTGATCATCCCAGTCACTGTTTATTGGGTTTATGCAGGGCTTTACGAAATGTTAGGCAATTTGGATAAATATCGCCTACACTCGAAAAAAGATGAAGAAACCAAGAACTTGGTTCCCAAACGGGAGGTCATCAAAGGAGTACTACTTCAACAAGCAATTCAAGCAGCGATAGCCCTAACGCTATTTAAGGTAAAAATCACGCCGTGTACGCATGATTATTTCTCGCTATGTAATTAGGTTTAAATTTGTAATAAATTTAAGCTCGTTTGCTCGTGTAGGCAGTGGGAAATAACGACGATGTCATCAACAACAGGAGCTCGAGCTCGAGCTCGAACACGACATATACAGTGGCCATCGCGCTCCAATTTCTCATCGCGATGCTTGTACACGATACATGGCAATATTTTGTGCATCGATACATGCACGTGAACAAGTTCTTGTACCGAAACTTCCACTCTTGGCACCACCGTCTCGTTGCTCCTTACGCCTATGCCGCTCAGTATAATCACCCAATCGACGGGATTCTCACTGAAACCCTAGCTGGCGCCTTAGCGTTCTATGTTTCGGGAATGTCGGCAAAAACTTCAATCTTTTTCTTTACGTTTGCTACTATCAAAGGCATAGATGACCACTGTGGGATTGTGCTCCCTTGGAACCCGCTTCATGTTTTGTTTCACAATAATACAGCGTATCATGAGATCCATCATCAGCTCGTTGGAAGCAAGTGTAATTTTGCGCAGCCGTTTTTTGTGACGTGGGATAAAATTATGGGGACTTACGTGGGTTATAAGATTGAGAGGAGGGAGGGTGGTGGATATGAAGCTCGGATGGTGAAAGACGCTCGTGAGTGATTTTACTTCTTCACATTATTGCTACTCTCAAAATTAATTAAGATGTAAATCCATGATTTTTTTTTTTCGTTTTTCTGTTTCTGTTTTTGTTTTGTTTTTTGTGAGTGGATAGAATGTTTATTTGTTATATTTAAAGTTTGTGAAAGAAGCTGTGTGTATGTGTCATACTTTGAATAAATGAATTATGTTTCACTTGTGTCAGATGAATAAATTTTTATTACGGCTCACAATACATATAGTATGAAGGTTCACAACTTGAGTAACTTCATGATCTTTTTAATTTTTAACTGTCATACAGACTGAAATTAATTATTTTCTTCCACCAAGATGTCCAAGATGGTTAGATGGGCAAGCGAATTGTATATGAAATGTGACCTGTATAGAAGCATATCATATATAAATGATGATGGTGTCCAAATGAACAAGATGGAAAACATGACAAGAAACTTAATTACGCATAACGTGCAAGAGAAATGATGATGACGCATATCCAATATATTGATATGGATATGAAAACCAAATATGTAGTCACATTTAAGGTGCGAATGAGAAATAATGGACCCATTTTTTTCCCCAAAAAATAGAAGAAAGGAAAAGGGGAGAACTATAGGAAAGTGATAAAATGAGATGGTGAGCTCATATTCTTATTGTGAGCTAGCCAATA